ACAACAACAACAACAACAACAACAACAACAACAACAACAACAACAACAACAACACACCCCTTTGAGGGAAGCAAAACAAATGGCCCCACAAATGCTTTGGGAAGCCTCGGAAACTCCATCCCCAAAGAACATCAAAGAACTGAAGACTCGGGGATCCAATCAATTGAACACTGTGCTTTTGGGCAAAACCCAGCTACTGCCCATCCAAATTCCGACTCCTCCGCGGCCACGACAGTGCCAGGCATACTTTGATACTCCTTGCACACGCCAACTCTGCCCGGATCATCTGGATCAATCACCTCCTCTGGGCCAAAGAGGTTCCCGAAGAACTGCCGCGTCGTCCTGTTCGGTTGCCGTGCGACCGTCCGCTGTCGACGGGCGCGGCCGCGCGAGCCAAGTACCAAGCCGGAAGCGACCAGGGCCGCACTGGTCGGGCTCAGCGACGCGGTCCGGTGCACCGCACCTCTGTGGTCGTCAGGGCTCCATCCGGATGCAATCCGAAGTGGCTGGGCACCAAGTGAAGGGCCGGCCACAAAGACAAGGAGCGACATGGCAGACAAGAAAATGCGCAAGATTCCAAAGCAAACTTAGCACAGTCTGGTCAGTTCTCAAGACAATTGATAGCATCACAAGTCACAATCTCAATACTTTGGCTTGCATTTTGTTGTCGAGGCCTGTCCTTGTTGTATTTCGTAGAGCGATTGCTACTGATGAGCCAGCGTAAAACAACAAACAAGTTGAGCAACTCACAAAAACAATGTTCAAAACACCTAGCATCAGGAACGAAGGCAACACAGCTGCTGCGCGGCCAGCTTTACTTTCCGGTGAAATGGTTGATTACGTGACGCCATCTGGCAAATGAAACCCTGAGCCCTCACTGTCCCACACTGAAGAGCGAAACGAGTTCCGATATGTTCCTTTCACAGGAGTGCCATTCTGTATGATGATGTACTTGGAGCTCTCGAAGCCAAGCCAACACACCCTGTTTCTGACGACTCCGCGCAGTTCCAGAAACCAGCTCATCCGAAAGCACCGGAACCGAGCCTTTTCCTCGGGCGATCGCCAGGTGCAAAAGGAGTTGTCTCAACAGTCTCAACGACCTCCTCAGTGTCCAGCTCCTCCTGATGCAAAGTCCGTCCCCGAACACATCGATCAGCCAAGCTCTGAGGTTCGAAGGTGTAATTCGACCAATATGTTTGATGAATTGCGATTGTTATTGGAGCTGAGCTTTGATGCGGCCGTGTGGCGCTGTCAAAGCACCGGGCCATATGAAAATAGAAAGCAAAAAACACAAAAGTCAAACCAACCAAAAAAACCGCTGTTCCTTGGTAGTAAGGTGCCCCAAAGTAAAGGCCTTAGTAAGGCCTCGGTAAGGGCTCTGGCTAGCCAAAGAGAGAATCGACAAAGTGCCGTTTCAGAAAACACACATTGGCCCTGTGTGAAGCATTCAGCCAGAAATCACCAAGAATCGAGATCTTAATAAGTAGACCGAAGCAGGACCGAGGTGTTAGTAAAGGACCGAAACAAGACCGAGGTCTCACCAAAAGAAAACAAAATCTCAAGCAAGAGTTCCATACTGAGATTTGAAGCCTGCTAACGCCTTACTAGTGCCTGAACATAGATTTCAACAGGGGGGCCTGAGTGTAGGGGGAGGGGGGGTAGAGCAGCCACCGTCCCGTGACTTACTATATAGTTGCGATTCGGTCGCGGACTTGTCAACAAAACATAACGATGTATGTCTTAGCGAAAGAAGGCAATCCCCTAATTACGAAACGTTGTTCTTTAATTGCAAGCCTCGTTCGATTGTGAAACTCGTCCATGGAAGACCTTAACTGCGCCTTTCAACATGAAAAACATCCTTAAACAAATCATAGGTCACCTCCTGCATTGCATCAAGATGGACCATTTGGATCATGTAAGACAGAACATCTGGAACATAGATTGAGACTTACGTGGTCATTGAGAAGTCGCTAGCGGTTCACATTCAAATTCCTCACGCCACTCCTCTGGATCAATTTTAAGCCATTGGAAAACAACTTTCCCTTTGCCACTGGCAGCCTCAAAAATTAACTGGATCATTTGTTGCTCCAGTCAAAGACAGCCCTGGCTAGCCATGGGAAAACCACACTGGCATCCCGGTTGAAATTTCATGTGTGACGATGTGGCCCAAATTTTGTAGACACAATTCACAAAGTGGTTTTGTATAGATTGATGGGATCTTGATTCGTAATAGATGTCTAAATTGATTGCTTATACTACGAATCTGGCGTTTCGAGGACATTTTAAGTTGAAAATATAGCTAATATGCTGGGGATGTAGCCAAGCATTTTGTACTGGAGACGCTGGAGCCCTACCAGCCAGGAAATGACGATGAGTCCCAGCATTTCATACAAACCAAAAGGTTAAGATCACATCAGCTTGTTTGGAAAAGTGACGATGGACCCCACGATTTCATAGTGGCTTTAGACTGCGTTGGGCACCAAGAGTTTGTAATGGATGCAAAGGGGGAAACAGCAAAAGCATAGCTTACATAAATTTTGTAAAGACTGGGTGGAATATGCAAAGAGTTGTCATATTGTTAAGCCAGGGCACTCTCAACAATAGGGACTACCGTTCTATAGAATATCTGGACAATGCAGGCTGCACAATGCTTCAACCCAAAGAGGGATCCAAGAGATTCGGAGAATTGAATGGAGAAGATGAGACTGGGTCATACTAGATAGGAGTAGGTACAAGGATTTCATCTTTGTATAATTTTGATTTGGTGTGCGAATTCAATGGTCGACACACAACAAACATGTATAAAAATTCTATCTTGAATTCCTCAACACCCCGTCGACCCTCCGATCCTTCTCTGCAAATTGGTTGGCTGGCTGGTCTTTGAGAGTACAAAATCAGAAGATGCTTCTGTACAAAATTGCAGTCCATGCATTTAACCAACAGTACGAAATCTCTACAAAATGAGGGCTACATCGTCATTTCTTGTTTTTTACTATAAAATGAGGGCCTCATCGTCACTTTAGGGGTCATTTAAAAAAAAAAAACGTTTTATACGGGCCCCAGGGCCAGTCATTTTACGCAGGAAATGTTGACCCCTATACACTGGCAGCCTCGTCAAAAAATTGCAAGCGAAATGCCCTCCACTCAAGGACTCCCTCAGTAACTTCTGGCCATTGGAAAACTACGTTCAGGAGGGTCTTTGCCACCAGCAGCCTCATCAAAAGACTCGGGATCTCCATTCAAAGACCCCTGGACCCCTGGACCAATCTTTTCCACTTTCAGAAGTTTTTGCCACCGGCAGCCTCAACAAAAACTGTCCTCCACTCAGAGACCACCCTCGATCAAATTTTTGCCATTGGAAAGCCACGTCCATTCAGAGTGCCTGGAACGATTCGGGGGGTCTTTGCCACTAGTGTCACTGGCAGCCTCATCCACATACACGATTCCAACCTCAGTTCATGGGGTTCCTGCAGCCACGTCAAGACCAGGTGAAAAAGATGGCGGCTTCCTTGATTGCAAACATTAGATGATCAATCTTTGTGCAAAGTCTTATTTTATAGCTGTCATTTCACAATTACAAAACTAATTTTTGAACTTAAAATCTTGATTTCGTCATTAAAACAGGACTTTTGTTATTAAGACGTACCCTGCTCACCCGGGCCAATCGAACAAGAAGCTAACAAGAACAGCGAGGGTGTGTACACAAACATCTCCCAACGAAATTTGGACAAACATCTCGGCCCCAAACAACGCCCGCTTTAGAAACAAATCAAGCCCAAGCCGGAGGCTTCTTTTCCTTTGTGCGAATGTTCCATCCATGCGTCGCGAAAGCCTTTTCCCGCCTTGTCATCGCTGGGAGTAGACCTCCACAAAAGGAGCAACGACCGGATTTCCAAACCGGTCATGCGTCATGTGGGTCGAGGCTCAGCAACAGCGAGCGGTATTCATCTCGAGCGGCAGAGAACTGTTTGTGCGACTTGGAGCATGAATCATGACTCGCACCATTTCCCTGCCCGGCCTGGCTTTCGAGCGACCAGCCTGACGCGAATTCAAGCCATGTAAAGAAGAACGGGTGGTAAACTGCCGGACCACGTCAGCCACCAATTCTGGTCCACAATCTTGCAAAGGTGGCTAAAATCTGAGTCCCAAAACCACGGATCTCCAACCTTGTCTTCCAGTGAACAGTGGAAGTACCAGGTTCCGGCCCCCTTCTTTCAAACCTGTTGAGACTGTGGAATTGCGGATGACAGGTCTCAACACTGTTGCTCTCATTCCCAAACCCATGGTGCCCCTCCGGCCCCCGCGCTTGGCCGGTCTTGAGCACGCTCCTGGCAGGTCGAGACGCGACGGTCCGCCCCCCACGCGACCGGTCCGCAGGTCATCACGTTCGTTTCAGATGCGTTCAGGTGAAAGGCTTTTTTGCCCTTCAAGTGAAGTTCTCACCAATGAGTTCGACAGGAATGAGTTCGACGGGTCGGGACCAGGTCCTCTTCCCAATGAGCTGCATAATTCTGGAGTCTTGAACCTAACAGAGCGACCACACAATCAGTTCATCGGCTGGCCGAATGGTGGTTGCAAGCCTCTTGAAGAGTCCCACCAATGTCAAAGAGCAGCTGTCAGTGACAAAACCAAGAAGAACCTGTGTCTGGTGCATGCAAAGCTGATCGAAAGCAACAAAATCAGATAAAGTCAGGGCCCCCTTGTCTGGGACAATACGGCCGCTCTCCGCCGCTCTCTTGGATCGTCTGCCTGCAGCACTGGGTTGTTGCGAAGTCCTCGGTTGCCATTTCCCCGCCCGCGCGGCTTCGTTGCAACGACGCCACGAAAGATGGACCTAAAAACCATCTGAAGGCCAAGGCTTCTGACAAACCAAAGTCATCTTCCTTTGCCAAGGTCAAAAGGTACACCGACCTTCAAGTATCGCAGGCCGAGCAGCGCGAGAGCAACGTGGAAGGCACTCCCTCTCCACCCTCCGTCAGCGGCGTCGTGGAGCCTTGCCCCGAAGGCATCGCTTCGGCACGGACGACGCTCGTCTGCACTGCATGGGGTGAACCCTTCGAGGTTCACCCTGCAATCCAAGTGAAGAAGCAGCGAACCCTTGGACTCCATTAGACTGAAAACGCGTGCTCAACACGCTCTTTGGGGGTTGAGGCGCGCCGGCCTCGGGTGGTCAATACAAGTCTCCCACTTCAGGATCCAAAAGCGCTTGATGGACATGTGGCTGCTTATGCACTTTATGCATGCTGATGATGCACAGGGGATATACATGCACCACAAGCATAAGCTGTGGTGGAAAGCCATGATCTCGTGTGTTGTGGATAGGGACCAAAGACCCCTAGGTGAACGGAAGGCTAAAACTTAACGCGTCCCCGTCGTAGCCTGAGAAAGATGTGAAAGTCCCCGTCGTAGCTGACTCGGCACCACTCCGCGTGGCCTCAGAACGTGCGAGGAATGCAAATAGTTGGTGGAAGCACCATGGGATTGATAAACTTCCAAAAGGACTCCCCAGTGGAATCCATTTGCTTAAACCAAGGCAAACCTCCAACCTGCA